AGATCAAGAACTAACAATCTACAATAAATCAAGAACTAACAATCTACAATAGATCAATACGTAACAAACTGCAGTAGATCAATACATAACAAAATACAATAGATTTCAAGCTATCATAAGCACATTAAAATTATTAGTAACTTCTGTGTTGAATCTTTATCAAGTAAATCAACATTCTTGGTCCCAAATTATTCAATATCTTACCAGAAGATATCAGAAACACTGCTGGAACAAGTGTAGACGTCTTCAAGATATCAGAAACACTGCTGGAACAAGTGTAGACGTCTTCAGAAAATCAGAAACACTGCTGGAACAAGTGTAGACGTCTTCAAGATATCAGAAACACTGCTGGAACAAGTGTAGACGTCTTCAAAATATCAGAAACACTGCTGGAACAAGTGTAGAAGTCTTCAAGATATCAGAAACACTGCTGGAACAAGTGTAGACGTCTTCAAGATATCAGAAACACTGCTGGAACAAGTGTAGAAGTCTTCAAGATATCAGAAACACTGCTGGGAAAAAGTGTAGACGTCTTCAAGATATCAGAAACAAATGCTGGAACAAGTGTAGAAGTCTTCAAGATATCAGAAACACTGCTGGAACAAGTGTAGACGTCTTCAAGATATCAGAAACACTGCTGGAACAAGTGTAGAAGTCTTCAAGATATCAGAAACACTGCTGGAACAAGTGTAGACGTCTTCAAGATATCAGAAACACTGCTGGAACAAGTGTAGACGTCTTCAAGATATCAGAAACACTGCTGGAACAAGTGTAGACGTCTTCAAGATATCAGAAACACTGCTGGAACAAGTATAGAAGTCTTCAAGATATCAGAAACACTGCTGGAACAAGTGTAGACGTCTTCAAGATATCAGAAACACTGCTGGAACAAGTGTAGACGTCTTCAAGATATCAGAAACACTGCTGGAACAAGTGTAGACGTCTTCAAGATATCAGAAACACTGCTGGAACAAGTGTAGACGTCTTCAAGATATCAGAAACACTGCTGGAACAAGTATAGAAGTCTTCAAGATAATCAAAACACTGCTGGAACAAGTGTAGACGTCTTCAAGATATCAGAAACACTGCTGGAACAAGTGTAGACGTCTTCAATATATCAGAAACACTGCTGGAACAAGTGTAGACGTCTTCAAGATATCAGAAACACTGCTGGAACAAGTGTAGACGTCTTCAAGATATCAGAAACACTGCTGGAACAAGTGTAGACGTCTTCAAGATATCAAAAACACTGCTGGAACAAGTGTAGACGTCTTCAAGATATCAGAAACACTGCTGGAACAAGTGTAGACGTCTTCAAGATATCAGAAACACTGCTGGAACAAGTGTAGACGTCTTCAAGATATCAGAAACGCTGCTGGAAGAAGTGTAAAACGTCTTCAAAATATCAAAACACTGCTGGAACAAGTGTAGACGTCTTCAAGATATCAGAAACACTGCTGGAACAAGTGTAGAAAGTCCCTTCAAGATATCAGAAACACTGCTGGAACAAGTGTAGACGTCTTCAAGATATCAGAAACACTGCTGGAACAAGTGTAGACGTCTTCAAGATATCAGAAACACTGCTGGAACAAGTGTAGAACGTCTTCAAGATATCAAAAACACTGCTGGAACAAGTGTAGACGTCTTCAAATATCAAAAACACTGCTGGAACAAGTGTAGACGTCTTCAAGATATCAGAAACACTGCTGGAACAAGTGTAGACGTCTTCAAGATATCAGAAACACTGCTGGAACAAGTGTAGACGTCTTCAAGATATCAGAAACACTGCTGGAACAAGTGTAGAAGTCTTCAAGATATCAGAAACACTGCTGGAACAAGTGTAGACGTCTTCAAGATATCAGAAACACTGCTGGAACAAGTGTAGACGTCTTCAAGATATCAGAAACACTGTTGGAACAAGTGTAGACGTCTTCAAGATATCAGAAACACTGCTGGAACAAGTGTAGAAGTCTTCAAGATATCAGAAACACTGCTGGAACAAGTGTAGACGTCTTCAAGATATCAGAAACATTGCTGGAACAAGTGTAGACGTCTTCAAGAGGAAACTGGACAAGTATCTCCATCAGGTGCCAGATCAACCAGGATGTGATGGATATGTAGGCCAGCAGGCCTCCAGCAGCAACAGCCTGGGTGACCAGGCAAGCTAGACAAACCTGACTCAGGGCCGAACTTTGGAAGTAGAAAAACTCTCGAAATTCATCAAGGGTAAATGAGTATACAGCAACTTTGGTTGTTGTGGTTGAAGGAACTCTTGGTCTAACACCAGTCAACCATTAGTATTGCTAACCCTTTTTCTACTCTGTATCTTCCTCTCTTTTTTCCTTCGTTCTTATCATCCTCTTCGTAGCTTTCCATTTTATTTTCTTGCTCATCTCTTTCGACCTTTTCATCTTCCTGTCTCTATTTCCCACTCTCCCTCCTCCTGTCTTCCTATTACGTCTGGTTTTACTCCTCCATCTTATCTTCCTCCTACCCCTTCTCTCTCCTCTTCCTTATCTCCCTCCTGCTCCTCTCCACATCGATCCGGCGACCTCTAGTTTACGAGTATTAAAATCTTACCAACCAAGTTTTATACGAGATGTTGGTTTATTCAGACTTTCAAATATTGTCCAAATCACCCAGACCCCCCGAGCCCTGGACGCGGTACTTTACTGGTCCGTGCCCCTGACAACACTCTAGCCGAACTCTAGAAGCAGCCCTGCCCTTGACAACACCCTAACCAAACCCTGAAAGCAGCCCTGCCCCTAGCCACACGAGTCAGAGTAATCATAGGACGCAGCTGCGTCCTGGGCAGGTCCTGCCACTGGCCCACTTCTTCCGTCTTCCGTTATGCCCAGCCCTTCCTCCCAGGTATGACAATTCAACCTAACACTCTGCCCATGTCTACTCAGCTACAACCTCCATTCTCGGGTCTTTAGTTCTTCTCGGAGTGGATAGCCTGACTCTTCCACTCCTGGACCATGAGGATTCTACCCAGCTGCCCTGCATCCTGGTATGCACGTGTTCCTTCCTCCCGAACACCGGCTGTGAGACTGGTCATTGCATATGGTTGTGCAACTGGTGGTAAGGTTCATATACTCTCAGGGCTGCCCTTTAACCCAACAATTAAATGGATGTTTTCTAAATACAAAATAAGCGAATATGTCCAATGAATGAATACAGTTAAGCTGCATAAATTTATTTAATATTTATCTGGTGATGGTTCTGAGACTCAACTTTTTCCTTAGCTCGGTCTCAAATCAAATCTGGTCGACGACCTGATCTGATCAGTCAGGCTACTGAAGTGGATTAGAACTTGCTAAGTTCCCAGTTATTGGTCTACCTCCCCATTCATCATATATTTAAAAGGAGGCTTTTGAAAAGTCTTGGCCTCTTTTCAATGGAGGTATTTTGTACCGTTTACCACTTACAAATAGATAAGGGATTATTTCAACGTGCAAATGTGGAATCACTCTCTTCAGTATTTTCAACCCGTAAATTATGCTGTAACTTTCCCGTATGTATCCAAACTGCATAGACTGAGGGACTTTAGTCACCTCCATTAATTCAGACATTGTAAATTATAAGGGCAGTGCAATGTCATTAATCTTACATTCTCCAAACCTGTAATTCTGCTTGTCTTAAATGTGATTCGTTCCTAATTTTTACTCCCTTACTCCTCCCATTCCCAGAGTCTTCTTTAAAACTTACTCAGCGTCCCTAATGTTTACTTTGAGCTCCATTAGGTTACCGACCCTTCCCCACAAACACGATGATTCTATCATAAATCTCACTAGTTGAAATTTCAAGAATTTAACTACCATGGTACAACTGCTCACCTTAGAGCATAAAACTGTCCAGTAACTGTCTCTGTCCCTCCCTGGAAATCTGCGATCTCTACATACAAGACCTTCACTCTTATGTCCTACCATCGTACCTGAAACACCTACCTAAAACCTTCCCACCGCTATAACTTGACCGCCTCCGCCACTACAACCACAATCATCATCTTGACCGCCTCCGCCACTACAACCACAATCATCATCCTGACCGCCTCCGCCACTACAACCACAATCATCATCCTGACCGCCTCCGCCACTACAACCACAATCATCATCCTGACCGCCTCCGCCACTACAACCACAATCATCATCCTGACCGCCTCCGCCACTACAACCACAATCATCATCCTGACCGCCTCCGCCACTACAACCACAATCATCATCCTGACTGCCTCCGCCACTACAACCACTATTATCATCCTGACCACCTCCGCCACTACAACCACAATCATCATCCTGACTGCCTCCGCCACTACAACCACAATCATCATCCTGACTGCCTCCGCCACTACAACCACTATTATCATCCTGACCGCCTCCGCCACTACAACCACAATCATCATCCTGACCGCCTCCGCCACTACAACCACAATCATCATCCTGACCACCTCCGCCACTACAACCACTATTATCATCCTGACCGCCTCCGCCACTACAACCACAAGCATCATCCTGACCGCCTCCGCCCCTACAACCACAATCATCATCCTGACCGCCTCCGCCACTACAACCACAATCATCATCCTGACCGCCTCCGCCACTACAACCACAATCATCATCCTGACCGCCTCCGCCACTACAACCACAATCATCATCCTGACTGCCTCTGCCACTACAACCACAATCATCATCCTGACCGCCTCCGCCACTACAACCACAATCATCATCCTGACTGCCTCCGCCACTACAACCACAATCATCATCCTGACCGCCTCTGCCACTACAACCACAATCATCATCCTGACCGCCTCTGCCACTACAACCACAATCATCATCCTGACCGCCTCCGCCACTACAACCACAATCATCATCCTGACCGCCTCCGCCACTACAACCACAATCATCATCCTGACCGCCTCCGCCACTACAACCACAATCATCATCCTGACTACCTCCACCGCCACCACTACCACCGGCAGAGGAGGTGAAGCTACTCACCGTTCCTGTCGAAGGGAACATACTCGCAGTAGCTGGCGATCTCTGAGGAGCACTGCAGCACCGCCCCTGCCTGCGTCACGTCCCGCAGCTTTTGTTCTGTGTCGTACTTGGGCGCTCCGATTAGCAACCTGTGGGGAAATTACACCAAAATTCAATGTGGGGAGGTATAACAAACTTCAATGTGGAGAGGTATAACAAGCTTTAGGTATACCATATCTCATACATTTATGGTCGTGGCAACCTCAACACCAGGGGTGCACACACACACACACACACACACACACACACACACACACACATGGGAAGAGAGACCAGGAAACGTACAGTAGAAACAGGATTGTGGAAGAGGTAGGAAAGAAGGGTAAAGCGGAATAGGATGTAATAAAGAAGATGACCCCACAACCTGTAACCTGAGGAACCATTAGCAAAGTTTAGAGAAAAAGAACGAAGAAGGAAGCGAAAAATAAGAGGTGAAAGAGGGAAGGAAAAAAAAAAGATGAATACGAAATGTGGTCGAGGGAATTTGCAGATCAACATGATGCAAAATATATACCAGTGTTATAAAGAAGGAATTGGAACAGATACTTGTGTCGTTTCTCAAGTACACAGAGCAGTTCTAATGTCATACGTTACATAGACTTTAACGTCAAGGATACGTTAATTCTTAGGATACAGATTAAAGCAAACTCTTAAGTATACATACACAGGTAAATATAAACATTAGAAATGTAATACAAAGTTAAAGGCGACGATGCAGAAGGGAGCACAGAGAACGTATTTCATAACACATAAAAAAATTGAAGAAATCACAATAAAACGCGTGACTGGAAACGTGTAAAAATACCGAATTGAAAACAGGAAATAAAAACGTGAGCGCTTTCATGTACTTATTACACACATCTTCAGAGGAAAACAATGGCTATAAGGTCAGCTAGAAGACAACTTGTCAAGTTGTCATCAAGCTGGGCTGTAGTGACCACATTGGACTGGGTGCAGCTAATACCAACAACCTGACTGACCAAGCCATCAGCCTGGAGGCCTGGTGCGTGAGAGGGTCGTAGGGGCGATGACACCCGGGACTATGTACAGCCATACTGGCCATATATAATACGAGGATACATACATAAAGCGCCAGTACACACAACATGTGTATAACACATTACTAACAGTAACACACAAACATCTACATCACATCACCTAATACACACAGCATACATACACCGCAATACATCTACTCAACAAACATGGATGCATATATGTGCACACATATATGTATACACAATACACATACATGCATACTAACACAATGCACACATACCAACCCATCTATTTCAATTAGTCTCTTTCCAACACAACAACAAGGGTCATCGTTCACAAGTTGACAACAACTTCCTGCATGGTGAACCATAATCTCAGCAACCCCCCCCCCCACCCCACCCCAACAACTGTAGTCACCACTACCACCAACATCCACAAAGCCGCCACCATCACCACTCACATAACTGCAGTCACCATCACTACCCACATAACTATAATCATCCCTTCCTCAATCACCAACAACCTACACAATTTGACTAAAATTAAAAGGTAAATAGATTCCAAACGCCTTTACTACTTTACAGATACTCCAAAATCAGAGAAAATAGAATTTACATATAACTTTTATGGATTCCATCACACACAGAATTACTCCTTCATGATAAAGATTTAACACTAGCCAAAGAAAGTACCTTGAAGGAAGATGTTGAATATAACCTTGGTATAAGTGTGTCTAGCATCAGGAATAATACTAGGAAAAAAGTAAATAATAAAAATAACTGTCATAGGAATGCAGACAGAAGCCTGAGTAGATTTGTCACTCACTAGGATAACATATCTAAGATTAACTTTCAACGTAAAAAGATTTATGTTGTGGTAGCCAGGCTTAGGCTGGTAACAAGTACTTGTGGCAGTTTGGTAGATACACAGATGTTGATCAAACTACATGCAAAGTATGTGACCAGCTCTGTGGTCACTGTCTTAACACTATGTGCTTAATTGTCCAATTACTGAGGAACACAGAGATAGACAGAATAATAACCTATGTAATATTTCAAACTATTTTATTAGTGAGAATGAAATACAATAAATATGTACCAAAAAAATTTACTTGGAATAGATATGGCAATTGTTGATATAAATTTTCATTTACTCCTGATAACTAATTTTTGGGGCCTAGTTCCTAGGCATTTTGTGTATCCAAAATGTCACTCCTAACCACCTCGCTGGAAAAATATAATTCTTCTGTTGGTTTTATTCTCCAGGAAAAGAAATCACCTGAGACGGGTCTATGTGATCAAGTTCCTTGTTCACTGATGGCCTTTGGTTACATGACCGAGCCAGCACTGGTTTGGTAATAGAGTTGTGGATAAGTGGAACAAACTCCCGAGTACCGTCATGGAAGCTAAGACGTTGTGTAGTTTTAAAAATAGGTTAGATAAATATATGAGTGGGTTAGACCTGACTAGCTTGTGCTACTAGGTCAGATGCCGTGCTTCTCCCTTAACTGAATGTGACTGACCTGACTAGGTTAAGGCATTAGCTTAAACCGGTGGGAAAATTGAACTTGCCTCGCATGGGCCAGTAGGCCTGCTTGCAGTGTTCCCTCATTATTATGTTCTTATAATTTAACCTGTCAATAGGAACATTAACAAGTCGTACATGAATAAAATGGAACATGATTTAACCGACCATTCCTGGCCTGACTGTTGTCCTAACATTTAACTCAACGTTGTTCAGTATCTTACACAATTTACTACATTTTGCACAAGACATTTTACACACACAACCGTCAACATTTTTAGAAGAACTATTAATCAGTTATTTTTTACGTCAATTAAAAATTTTAACTCGACGTTAAAAAATTTAGTAGGTGACGAATTTCAAGAAAGCCTAACTATAATGATAAGACTTTTCAGTCGTATAATTTCCTGTCTTTCCCATAGTAAAGGATGTTCCTTGCAGTTTTCAGAGTTATCAATAAAAGAGTTGAGGTAACTTTTGGAATCCATAGCAAAACAATGATGGCAGTGATGCTGGTTAGAACCCCAATCTTCTTTACATTGTTGTGTTTACAAAAGTTTACAAAATAACGAGATTTCCATTACAGAGGAAATTACTTGGTAACGTTAATAGTTTATTAAGTGTTATTAGGCACCACTGTAACAATCACTGGTAGTGTGTCATCAGGCACCACTGGTAGTGTCATCAAGCACCACTGTAACAATTGCTGGTAGTTTGTCATCAGGCACCACTGTAACAATCACTGGTAGTGTGTCATCAGGCACCACTGGTAGTGTCATCAAGCACCACTGTAACAATCACTGGGAGTGTGTCATCAGGCACCACTGGTAGTGTCATCAAGCACCACTGTAACAATCACTGGTAGTGTGTCATCAGGCACCACTGGTAGTGTCATCAAGCACCACTGTAACAATCACTGGTAGTGTGTCATCAGGCACCACTGGTAGTGTCATCAAGCACCACTGTAACAATCACTGGTAGTGTGTCATCAGGCACCACTGGTAGTGTCATCAAGCACCACTGTAACAATCACTGGTAGTGTGTCATCAGGCACCACTGGTAGTGTCATCAAGCACCACTGTAACAATCACTGGTAGTGTGTCATCAGGCACCACTGGTAGTGTCATCAAGCACTACTGTAACAATCACTGGTAGTGTGTCATCAGGCACCACTGGTAGTGTCATCAAGCACCACTGTAACAATCACTAGTGGTGTGTCATCAGGCACCACTGGTAGTGTCATCAAGCAACACTAACAATCACTAGTGGTGTGTCATCAAGCATCACTGTAACAATCACATATATACAGAGACCAGTGGGATGTGTGTATGTGTGTCAGCAAGCACGTCATAATTGACCTTGTGTGGAGGTCATCGCACTGAAGCAAGCATGAGGATGCTGCACCCAGCAGGGTGAACGTCTGCTCTACACATCACCTTCACTACCCACAATACTGCACTATCCTCACTCACTTTTTTTTTCTTACTGATCCCTCTAATCCTCCTTCCTTCCCCTCTTCCTCTTCCTCCTTCTCCTCCTCCTCATCATCAACTTCTCTTCGCCTTTCGTAGGTTTATTTACGTTCCTTTCCTCCTCTTCGTCCTCTTTCACCCCTTCCCCATCATCAACCAAGGGCAAGCAATGCCCCTTGCCTGTACAAGCTATCACCCGCCTGCACACCCCTCACCCTACCCCTTCCTCTCCTCCCCTCTCCCCACCATCACTCCTCTACCTCCTCCTCCACAATTCCTCCTCCTGTTGATAGTTATTATGGCTTCCTGTGGTTGTAGCACTTCTCACCCTGTCTGGGGCACATCTGCACCTAGCTACCTCCCACTCGTAGTCTCTCTTATTATTCCTTTCTCTCTCTCTCTCTCTCTCTCTCTCTCTCTCTCTCCCTCTCTCTCTCTCTCTTTCACACATACCCATGAAGTTCCCTCTCATGTACCCATGACTCAATGAGTTTGGTTTCAATATGTTTAATTTAGTTAAGAAGCACATAGCAATGAGAGTAATCGCTCTCAAACTTGCAAGAAGCAGTGAGTGTTGGAATGCTTGTCCTGGGAGAGGGAGCAGAGAGGCGGGAGGGACGGTAAGCACTTCCCACTCAGTTCACTCTCTATACATCAATATTAAATTCCATCAATTCCCCCCCCACCTCCCCTCCTACGTCAAATTCATGAAGGCCTCACAATGCGTCAATGCTTTTTTCAATCACATTAAAAAAGCTTATTGTACGTTAATATTCTTGACGTGGCGATCAACGCCATTCCTTGACGCTTTCAATTTATTTTAAATTAGTTTAAGTTAATTTACAAAAGAATAAAACGGCCGAGATACGTCTGGCAACGAGGTGGTCGAGGAAAAAAACATGGAACGTTGAATCGTGAACGTGTTTCCCTCTAAGTGCAAGAAGGGCGTATACAGTGACTTCTCCCACTGTCTTGAGTCAAAAAATAAAACAGTAGAGTTATCTTATTAGCAGGAGTTATCTCCTGAAGGTGGATCAGTTATCTCCTGAAGGTGGATCAGTTATCTCCTGAAGGTGGATCAGTTATCTCCTGAA